CGTCGGGGGGTCAGTCACACAGTGACAGGGCCGCACTGTCGGGGGGTCGGTCAGTCTGTGATACAGTGACAGGGCCGCACTGTTGAGGGGTCAGTGACACGGTGACAGGGCCGCACTGTCGGGGGGGTCAGTCAGTCAGTCAGTGACACAGTGACTGAGAACAGAGACCTAGGTTGCAGGTACATAGTTGTTTGAAAGTGGAATCACAGGTGGATAGGGCGGTGAAGAAGGCATTTGGCACACTTGCCTTTATTGGTACGAGCATTGAGGAGAGGAGTTGGGACATGTTGCAGCTGTTCAGGACATTAGTGAAGCCACTTTAGAAATACTGTGTACAGTTCTGGTCACTCTGCTACAAGAAGAATATTATTGAATTGGAGAGGGTGCAGAAAAGATTTACAGGGATGATACCCAGACTGGAGGATTTGAGTTACAAGGCGTGGCTGGATAGGCTGGGGCTATTTTCCCTGGGGCGTAGGAGGCTCAGGGGTAAACATGTAGAAGCTTTAAAATCATGAGGGGTATCAATAAGGTGTATAGCCAAGGTCTTTGCCGCAGGGGAGGAGTCGAAAACGAGAGGGCATAGGTTTAAGGGGAGAGGAGAAAGATTTAAAGGGACCTGAGGGTGATGCGTGTATGGAACGAGCTGCCAGAGGAAGTGGTAGAAGCAGGTGCAATTACAACATTTAAAAGACATTTGGATGGGTACATGGGTAGGAGAGGTTGAGAGGAATGTGGGTCAAGTACTGGCAAATGGGAATAGTTTAGTTTGGGAAACCTGGTCGATATGGACAAATTATTTGAAGGATCTGTTCCCACATGTCTGGGATGTGGGTTGGGGGCGGTGTGCGTGAAGGGAGTGTCTGGGATGGGGAGGGAGACAGACAGGGGTGTGGGGGGAGTGTCTGGGATGGGGAGGGAGATGGTTTGTGGGAGGGAGCGTACAGCTCTGTACCGACATCCTCTGGTCAGCGCACAATGGCTAACACTGACCTTCCTCTGATTACAGTGGGGTCCAGGAATCTATCTGTGCTACAAGAAGTCCATGGCAAAGGGGACAGCCCTGGCGTACGAAGCTGGTGAGCATGAACCCCCGACAAAATCTAACCGTCCATTTGCAGGGGCCGGAGCCCAGGGGACAGCCGGGTTCAGACAGAACACAGCTGTCCAGAGGGGTCGGTCAGTGACAGGGCCCCCTCTCTCCAGGGGGTCGGTCAGTGACAGGGCCCCCCCTCTCTCCAGGGGGGTCGGTCAGTGACAGGGACCCCTCTCTCCAGGGGGGTCGGTCAGTGACAGGGCCCCCTCTCTCCAGGGGGGTCGGTCAGTGACAGGGCCCCCCCCTCTCTGAGGATGCCATGTTCTGGTGAATGGAGCCCGTTGGTGGGTGGTTGTACTGTGTTGCACTGAAGCTGCCTGTATACCCCGCTGTGATGTGCGTCTCTTCCAGGTTTGATCAGCCGATACCCGGAGACTGATAGTGAGCCGTTTCCCCTGCCTCACACTGTGCCAGTCTTCTGTCTGCCAATGGGAGCTACCATTGAAAGCTGGCCAGCACAGACCAAGTACCAGCTGCCTGTCTTTTCAACCTTTGTACTGACAGCTGGCACAGGGGAGAAGGTAAAATGCCAATGGGGAGAGAGGGCGATGGGGGAGCTGGGAGGGGGAGAGGGGAAGGGCGGGGAGAAGGCAGGAGCAGAGGGGAGAAGTTGGGGGAATGATAAGGCAGGGGAGAGAGAGGCAGAAGTTGGAGGGAGCGGAATGGGGGAGAAGTCGGAAGGAAGAGGGAGAAGTCGGCGGTGGGGGATAGAGGGGCAGCAGGCGGAGGAGCGAAGTGGGTGAGTGAGCAGCTCGTGGTGGGGGAGAAGGTGAGCAGGCAGGGAGCAGGGGGTAGGGAAGGGGTATGTATTGCCCCTGCCCTGTGGTGTGTGCAGGCAGTGGGGGGAAACGTAGCAGGCAGGAGAAGGATAGAGGGAGCAGGTGATGTGTAGAGCGTGATATAATGCCCCGCCCTGTGGTGTGTGACCCCCCCCCCCCCCCCCCCCGGGGGGGCCCCCCCCCCCCCCACTCTGCGGTGTGTGACCCCCTCCTGCCCTGCGGCGTGTGACACCACCCCCTGCCCTGTGGCGTGTGACACCCACCCCTGCCCTGTGGCGTGTGACACCCACCCCTGCCCTGCGGCGTGTGACACCC